CCGCGCCCTCCCTCCTGGAGACGGCCTTAACTCAGGAAAACGCCTCTGCTGGCAGTGGCATGGGCCAGCCCTGGCCGGCGGCCCCCGACATCACCAGGGAGACCAGGAACAGCATGGCCAACAGGTAACCGGCGCTGCCTTGCTGGGGACGTTGGGAGGTGGGTGAGGGCCAGGCCCTCCTTTCGGAGCCCCGACGTGCAGGTCTCCCCCGTACCCTGACTCGGCAGGCTCAGCTCACTCTCCCCAGTCCTTGGCCAGCTTCACCTGTCCTCTGCCACCGCTTGGGGCATCTCTCGCCCGCCCGCCTGAAAGGGGCTCAGCACTTGGACCTGGCTCCGCCTGCCGGCCCTGCGTGCTCGCCCTGGGCGGGAGCTCAGGGCTAGCAGCCAGGTTCCGCCCCCGGCAAGCCCTGTGCAGCCCGGCTTGGTGCGCGTGATGGACGGGGCTGGCGGTGCGGAGGAGCAGCAGCGACCAACGCCAGGCGAGATGCTGGGATGGGTGCCCGGGATGCAGCAGGTCCGAGGGAGCTCTGCCCTAGCAGAGGCGCACGTAGAGGTGGCCTGAGACACACCGGCCAGATCCTGCCTTTGGCAGAGACCAGAGCTGTCCCCGGAGTCGCAGGCGGCACCGGCATCCTTCTGCCCCGGCCGCTCCCCCGCCTTGCCCGGCCCCCCCGGCGGAATCCATGGCGGTTGTTGAGCCTGGGGGTCCACGCTGCTCCTCTGCCCCACGCTTCAGCTCTCTGGATCCAGGGAGCGAGTTCAGAAAGACCTCGCCGGGGCTGGTTCTCAGGGGCCTGGCTTGAGGCCAGGCTGGGCAACAATTTTTGAGAGGGGGGCCGCTCCGAGAATTTGGTAAGTGGTCGTGGGCTGCACTTTGCTATGATATGAATGGAGAGGGTACAGGAGGGAGTATGGGTGCAGGAGAGGATTCTGACCTGGGAGGGAGCTGTGCCGGGGGGTGCAGATGGTTTGGGTTGTGCCCTGGGGCAGGGAGCGGGGGGGAGGGATGCCAGGTGCAGGCTCTGGCCAAGCGGCACTTAGCTAGGCACCTTCTGGCCAGCAGCCCAGCAGGACCCTGGGGCAGGCCCCCTGCCTGCTGTGCTCCCACACGCTGATTAAAGCAGCCGGCTGCCGGGGCCAGCACGTGC